TTGTAATGGCGAGAATAATCTACTGCCTGGCATTAGCTTCTGTTTATAAACTTTTGCTTGTTTGATTTTTGTTGAAAGTGCACAGCTAATGGTCCATCAATACAAGTAATTTGGGGAAGTATCGCCTTCGTGATCATGAACTCTCCATCACAATTTTTTGAGCATTTCTAGGGTTTGAATTAGCAAAGCAGAAATTGAGATTATTATCATCAGAGAAACAAATGTTAGAGTCAGCATTTGGCTAGGATGCATCGTTCTGTTCTCCATAACACCAAGCCACCAAATGCGTTACAAGGCCTTCGGGTTATGATAAGCTGATAAGGTTTTATGCAGACGCTAGTTACGAGAAAATTCTAATTACTAGTAGAACCAAAGCATGATTGTTGTTTTTTTCAGAATGATTTGCATGTTGAACTTCATAGTTACCTGCTGGTATGATTTTCCCTATCTAGAATCACGAGCCTGTTGAAGTTCATGTTTCTCTGTTTATCACACACGGTAATGCTCATGTAATATGAATGTGAATGCTTACCTAATTATGCGCTGAACAATGATTGAATAGTCTCCAATTAAGATGTGGTATGGTAGAATAGTATTCTCTGAGCTTATGGATGTCATGGCCGTTATGGGCTTGATATATTATATGATACATCTTCCATCTGCCAGATTGTATGCTTCAAGTAACTTGGAAACTGAATGGTGATGATCCTTGTGTTAGATATTATATGTTAGTTAGTGACTGACAAACAACGGTTTTTTTTTTCAAGGCTTAATTTCTGGGTCAATCGATATGAGGTTTCACGGGTATTACTTTTAAAGAGAAATATTTGTCCATATTTTCTGTCCTAGCTGTTTATCGTAGGTCACCGTTCACCAGTACAATATATCTGTGCTAAAGATGTGCCTCTTTGGATAGGTAGAACTTTTATTTTCTACTTGTGTGTGTGTATCTTGGATTGAATTTTTGTGGATGGTTCTTGAGTTGGACACTGGCTATTTTATCATCTAATACTATCATGCAATAGGTCAGATAGGCACCAGTATAAAATTCTAATTGTAACCTGTGATCAGGGTTTATTTTTTATTTTAACTGCCCTTTTTTGTCAATGTTGGTCATCCTTGGTCTGGGTTCTTCTCTATATTCGTATATGTTGAGGGAAGGTTTGTCTGAGACTCCCTTTTTTACCTCCCTTATGTAATATGTTGTCATTGTTCAGAAGAAAGATTCAAGTTTTCTGTGGCCTTTGTTTTTGAGTGTTATTAGTGACAACTTGTTATTTTCATTTTGGTTGACTGTATCTATTTCTGAGCAGTAAACTTTTTTTAGCACGAATCCAGGTGCTCCACGGTAATCATATATCAGGATAAGTTCGTTTAACAAATACTCCCTCTGTGGAGATTAATGGCGATCACTTGCTTCAAGAGGTTATTAGAAGCAGAAGACGGACGAGAGGAACTGTCTTGGTATGTCAAATCTGGGGACTTCACCTGCAACCATTGACATGAAGCTACTTAAGTTGACATGGAGAAAGTTAGAAGGTTTGGCTGCTAGACTTGGTGGAGCCAAGAACATATTCTGTGAACTTTTTTCTGATAACAAGGCTGATAACGCCTTTTGGTTGGATAGTTCCTCAATTGAGAAAGTCTGTCTTGAAGAGGAAGAATGCACCTTTCAGTTTGGTTCTTTATTTTTATCATTCTTGTGGAAAATGTAGATGAATGTATTTCATTTTCATATTATTATAATATTTTGATGTTATTAAGTGCTTAATCAATGTTAAATATAAATTCCAAAAATTAATTTTGTTTTTAATTAGGTTTAAAATCGAAAAATGAAATAAATTATTTTATCGTACGATCACAAATTACAAAAGTTCAATGCAAAAATAAAATTTCGTCGCTAAACGATATTCGTAGGGGAGTTCGTCGCTAAAGAATTAATAAAAAATTGTCGCTAAATTCGATCATGAATAATGTTAATGGCAAAAGTAAAAAAAATTTATGGCAAATTAGCGACGAATTTTGCCACAAATAAGTTTGTTGTAAATTACTGACCAAAATTTTTTTTTTTGCAAATTAGCGACAAATTTTGCGACGAATAATTAGCGACGGATAATTAGCGACGAAATGTGCGACTAAATTTGTGACGAAATTTGCGTCGATATTTGCGACGAATTTTGCGACGAAATTTGCGACAAAATTTGCGACGAATAAAGTTCGTGGCTAATTTGCGACGAAATTTGCAACGAATTATTTGCGACGAATTTTGCGACGAATTTTGCGACGAAATTTGCGACGAATTATTTGCGACGAATTTTGCGACGGATAGTGTTCGTGGCTAATTTGCGACGAATTTTGCGACGAATTATTTGCGACGAATTTTTGTCCGTCGCAAAATTTTGCGACGACCTATTAGCGACGGAATTTTTTCCGTCGCTAAATTCGTCGCAAATTCGATTTGCGACGGATTTTTCCAAATTTTTCGTTGCAAAAATTATGTTTTTTTGTAGTGAATAACATGTTTGACGCACTCGTGTCCACCAAGGTATAGAGTTTTGTGTTCTTAACCTTGACTTCCACAAATGGCAAACTTATACTTGGAGGCTTCTTAGGCGTCGTTTGAGTCTTTACGAAGTTGAGATTCTTTACGGTTCTCAGCCGCCCTTCTCTCTTCTCTTGCTTTGCTTCTTCCTTTTCCTCTATGGCGAGCACTGTCGTGAGTTTGTACCTCTTTGGACAATCTCGGGATCAATGGGGACTTTCACAAAAGAAGCAACGGGATGGTGGTGGTTTCCTCTCCCTTTCTTTGTGAAAGTCACCTTGGGTCAGTTCCACCTTTTGTTGGGTTCTTGAAAGGGCCATCTCCCCATGATCTTTCTCGTCAGTCTCTTCGACAACGGTAACTTCGCCTTCCTTGTCTTCATCGTGGTGGTGAACCATTGTCCACCCATTTCCTTTGGACTTGAAAGATTCGGGTTTGGGGAAGTCGGCAGGAGGCTCGGCTACAGTGAGTGCTTTTGAGATACTTCGGACATCTCGTCTTTTAAGTTCGAGTTGGGCCTAAGGCTTCAAGCCATCCATCTATGCCCCATTAGCTTCCTCTTCCTCTAAGTTGGGAATTTGGAGTTTTAGTTTGGTGAACTCTTTCACGTAATCCCAGACCATGCCCTTTTGTTGAAGGCGATGAAGTTTGCTACTGGCCTCTTGTTGGGCGAACTCAAGGAAGAAGTAATCTCAAAATTATTTGACAAAGGCACCTCGCTTAGTCTCATCGCACCTATTTCGCCACCAAATCATGGCATTATCGGTTAGGAACATAGAGATGTTTCTTACCTTGGCCATCTCCTTTGGAATGTCGACGGCGCCAAAGTATTGTTCCATGCTCCAAATGAAGTTGTGCACTTCTTTAGCGGACCAGTTGCCCTTGAACTCCTTGGTTTTCGGCACATCCACCTTGTGTGCCACTTGAGCAGGTGCGGCACCGTACATTTTACTATTCTTGCACATGACTAGTTCGGTCTTGAGCTCTTAGATGTCCAATATCAAATCTTCGACTTTGGCCTTGTAGAAATTGTCCTCTTTGAGCTCTAGGACTTTCATCTACAAAGCCTCAATCATGGCTTCGAGGGATTCCTCCTTCAAGTGCAAGGGGGCCGTGGATTTGATCACGACGGTCGTGAATTCAAGGTGGAGCGTCTCTTTGATTACGTTGATTCGCTCTTTCACGACCTCATCGATTCCGTCCACGAACTCCACCATGCTGGCCTTCATTCTAACGAACCTTTCCTCGAGAGCGGACATAACATCCATCGAAACGGCCCTCTTCTTGGCTCTACTGCTGGTCTCCCACTCTTGGACGACCATCTCTTGGGGAGCCTCTTCAACAGTGGCAACATCGATAACTTCTTGGTTCAACATTCTCACGACCACTTGATATGTTCCTCAATCTCTTTGAACAGACTCTTTTCTACTTGCTCTAATACCACTTGTCAATGACGGATACTTGAGATCGAAACTGTGAGGCAATTTTAGACTTCCTTTGGTTCGTTGGGAAGCCTAAGCTAGCATTTTTTTCAATTGGACCAATTTAGTCCTAAACATTTTCACGTTGGTATCAGTTGAGTCCATCCGGTCAATTTAGGCTGGAAATTTGATGATGTCATCGCAGACTGTCTTACATGGCACGATCGCTGATGACGAGGACAAAGGCGATCCTCTCCAGCCTCGCTGGCCACAATGAAAATAAAAATAACAAATAATAAAAGTAATAAAAATATCAGAAAAAATATCAAGATTTTGTAAACTTTGTCCGTGTCAACGCTGGTCATGCCACGTAGGACGGCAGACATCGATGTCAGCAATTTCCAACCTAAATTATCGGATAGACTCAAGTGATACCAATGCGAAAAGATTTTAGAACTAAATTGATCCAATTAAAAAAATTAAAACTGAGTTGATATAGATGCAATAGATTTAGAAATTTTTTTGTACTTTCTCCAAAAATGACATGGTAAGGAAAGAGAAATGGGTATTCAGCTATTTTTGAAGCCCATTACGTTCTTGTAGATGATGACTAAGTTAAATGTGATTAACGTGTGTTGAATGGCAAAATAATCCTCTTTTTCGACGACCAGCTGTCATCATTTTCAAGGGCTTACACTTGAAACCCAGAAAAGCGCAACCAAATAGAAAAAAAACCCAGAAAAGTCAAAACGAGAAAATTAATAAGTTGACATCAAAACAGCTTAATAAGTTCAAGACATGTCAGCTGTCTATACTCTTTTGGTCGATCACCGGCTCGCGTGACAAGAGTTGTAACACGCCCTCGATGCAAATATCTCGGCATTATGCTTGAGCAAGACATAACGAAGCTTGGAACCAAGTTGCTGTCGTTACTGTAATTGGGTGACCATGTCTAGAAAACATCGAGGGCGGCATTGTAATCTTCAGCGAGCAACATTTAGTTCTTTTCTCTCTCAGACTCTTCCTATAAAAACAAGGCCAAGCTAGAAAGCTAGAACTCAAGCCTGTCTTCACACAAAGAACACAAAAGTCAGTCATTTTTATGAGCTCCAAAGTGTCCATCATGGCCAAGAATGAGCTCGTCGTGGCATTAGTCCTCAGTTTGTCCCTTTTTGGCTTTACAAGCGCCGGCGATCCCGACATTCTCACCGACTTTGTGGTCCCCCCGAACGTCAACATCAGTAACATCGATGGCAACTTCTTCACCTTCACCGGCATGAGGTCTATCTTGGGGTCCAATCCCCCGACCGCGTTTACAGTGACCAAAGCAAGTGCAAAGGAGTTCCCCGCTCTGGAAGGGCAGAGCGTCTCGTTTGCAGTCCTCCAATTCCCGGCCAGCTCGGTGAACCCCCCACACACGCACCCCCGCGGATCGGAGCTCCTGTTCCTCATATATGGGTCGCTGCAGGTTGGGTTCGTCGACACGACCAACAAGCTCTTCACTCAGACCCTCCAAGCTGGTGACATGTTCATATTCCCCAAGGGGCTTGTCCACTTTCAGTACAATTTTAATCAGACCGACTCTGCGGTGGCAGTCTCCGCGTTTGGGAGCGCAAGCGCGGGATTGGTATCGGTCCCTGTGGCCGTCTTCGAGACCAACATCGACGATGGGATCCTGGCTAAATCTTTCAATACTAATGTCACCACCATTCAAGCACTGAAGGCTGGCCTTGCACCCCCACCCACCAAACCATGAGAAAGAGAGTGCGAGGGAGACAGAGAGAGGTCAACTTCTAATAAAACAATGTGATCTTTATTCCTGCAATTTATATTTTGAAAGCTGAAGTGTTGAAAATCACTGAATAAAGCAAGTTTGATGATGTACCGATCTACTACCATTATTTTGTATAAGATTTGACTTTGCCGACACAAATGTATGAATACTGGGATATTCATAGTCAGTCGACTCACTATCTTTTCTTTCCCCTCTCAAGCATATACAGTTTCTTTTTCTTCAGTGCCCAACATTTTAGTATAGTGTTTTAGATGTTAAACATAAATAAGTATGTCAGTAATTAGCTATTCCCTGTGTAAAAGGCGTGCTAATCATTTTTTTTTGTGAAAAGAGAAGTGCTAATCATTTTTTTGCATCTTATTTTCTCTTCTCAAGGGTATATTTTATTAGGGAAAATACCACCAAAAACCTCAAACTATATCACTGGTGACAAATTTACCTTGAACTTTTTTTTGTGACACAAAAAACTCCAAACTATGTCACTTGTGACAAATTTATCCTGAACTTTTTTTTGTGACACAAAAAACCCCAAACTATGCCTCTTGTGACACATTTATCCCACAATACTTTGGGTCATGGGCATTTTCGACTTTTTTCCTTTTTTTTTCTTGTCTTCTCTCTTCCCTCCGCCAGCCATGGCGGAGGGAAGCCGACGAGGGTAGCCCTCGCCGGCTTTGGCGAGGGCTGCCCTCGTCGGCGTCGGGCGAGGGCTGCCCTCGTCGGCGTCGGGCGAGGGCTGCCCTTGCCGGATCTAGCGAGGGCGACTTCACTCAACTCAGGCGAGGGCTGCCCTCACTGGATTTGGCGAGGGTCGCCCTCACCTGGGCGGGCGAGGGCAGCCTCGCCCGACGTCGGCGAGGGCAGCCCTCGCCCTACCCAGCGCCGGTGAGGATCGCCCTCGCCGGCTTCCCTCCGCCATGGTCGGCGGAGGGAAGAGAGAAGAAAGGAAAAAGACGAAAATGCCCATCGGCCAAAGTATTGTGAGGTTAATGTGTCACAAGTGGCATAAGTTTGGGGTTTTTTGTGGTATTTTCCCATTTTATTATTATTAATTGTTTGACTTTGCCAACACAAATGTATGAATACTGGGATATTCATAGTCAGTCGACTCACTATCTTTTCTTTCCCCTCTCAAGCATATACAGTTTCTTTTTTTTCAGTACCCAACATTTTAGTATAGTGTTTTATATGTTAAACATAAATAAGTATGTCAGTAATTAGCTATTCCCTGTGTAAAAGGCGTGCTAATCATTTTTTTTTATGAAAAGAGAAGTGCTAATCATTTTTTTTGCATCTTATTTTCTCTTCTCAAGGGTATATTTTATTATTATTAATTGTTTTTGGATTGGCTTCTCCAAGGAATCCTTCATCAATATCAACTAAAGTCACCATTAGTTTCTCAATAGGCTAATTCTCTAAAAAATTCTCAACTTTAGGTTTAATTCCAATTTTGCCCCAAATTTTTTTTAGCTTATAAAAAATCCCTAACTTTTACTTTAGTCCCAAATATGGTCTCACGTCCAAAAATCGCTACTAATTTCTTCAATATTATCAATATCAAAAGATTGCTATTGTTCCTTACGAGGTAAAGGTGTTGATGAAAACACAGGTTCTGATAATGGACTTCTAACTAGTTCTGATATCGATAATTTTAATAAACTGGAGATGATTTTTGAAAGTATAGGCAGATTTGAGACTAGAATAAAAGTTAGAAATCTTTTTTGAGATAAAAAAAAAATTGAGACAGAATTGGAACTGGATTCAAAGGTTAAATTTTTTTTGGAAAACTAAGCCGTTTCTCAACTATTAAACTAATAAGATCCCTTGTCTCAATGATAGTTCCACACGAATTTCGCATACCACCACATCCACTAAGGGTGCCAAAAAAAGGGCACAGAAGACCCAAAAAAGGGGATTGAACCGGTCCGATTTTACGGGCCCAATTATGACCAGGCTAGTCTTCGGCCCAATTTTGAAATTTTCATTCAAGTCGGTTTGGGTTTTTCAGGCCTGAAATGTATTAAAAATAATAATGTCTAATATTAGCAGATAAAGCAAAGTCGAACGTTTGAAGATAAGTGATTCATTATAATGAACCTCAATAAAGTCATAAAAATATGAAATTAACCATCGAAACCTCAAACTTCAAATGGGCCACAAAATTTATTACATGTTAAAGTCTGAGATGAATTTTGAGTAGATTTAATTTCATCTTTTGAGAATTGCACGTTAGAGATTTCAAGTTTGATTACAGTCAATATTTTCAAAAAAAAAAATTAAAATACAAAAAAGAAAAAGAAGTTAGGCCACCAAATCTAGCAATTTCGATTTGGGCCTTTTTTGGGCCTGGCCTACATAGCGAGCCCAAAAAAAGCCAAGCCCAGATCTGTTCGAACCGTACCGAAAGGAGCCCCTCTAGGCTCGGCTCGCTGGCTCCGTGGAGAGAAACCCTAGCGTCTCCCCTCATATTTATACACGCATCCGCCGGGCGAAAGCGCCATTCTCTGTCGCAGTCGCCGAGCGTTCGCACGACCACCCCATTCCATCTTCCATCTTCCGTCTTCAACAGGTTAGCTAATCTCGCGGCTCTTTGGCTGCTCTACTGCAACTTGCGTCGATAAAATCTGATCTGGGATGCTTGGTTGGGGCCATATTCTGTTCTGCTCGTTCTTGATTTCTGGAAATCACTGGCCCGGTTGCGCTTTGAACCTCGACTTGTCTGTAGCCTGTCGTATGCAGTTTTTCTTATACATCTTGAGTTAGTTTTTATTGGGGTTGGAGGATTGTGCGTTGGGTGACTTTGATTTTCATGGGTTTTTCATGTTCTTTTAGTTCGGCCTGGTCTCGGTATCGGATCTTGTTCGGGCGAAGTTTCGTTGCCTTCGATGAGAGGATTCGAATATCTGCTGTTCAATATCTGATTGTGACATTCTCTTAATCGCGATGGAGTCCCTTTTAGCAAGCACCTAGGGTTTCGATGCTCGAGTTTTCCGCTATAGAATTTTGATGAGCTGTTTATTTTTCCTTAGTGCTGTAATCTGACGAGTAATTGCAACTGAGATATGGTAATGGCTGTTCTGTTCTTGTGGTGTTTGCTTTGTTTATGTTTTGTGGGGTTAAGTGGTTTTTGTGTTCCGTGAACCTTGGATGCAATGTCATTTTTGTGGTTTCTCCAACCTTATGTAGGAAAAGGTAAGCCGTCATGGGCCGTGTCCGCACCAAGACCGTGAAGAAGTCCTCTCGCCAGGTTATCGAGAGGTACTACTCTCGCATGACTCTGGATTTCCACACGAACAAGAAGATCCTGGAGGAAGTTGCCATCATTCCGTCGAAGAGGCTCCGGAACAAGATCGCCGGGTTCTCCACCCACTTGATGAAGCGAATTCAGAAGGGACCCGTCCGTGGGATCTCGTTGAAGCTGCAGGAGGAAGAGCGTGAGCGCCGCATGGACTTTGTGCCCGACGAGTCGGCCATCAAGACCAACGAGATCAAGGTCGACAAGGAGACCCTTGACATGCTTGCTTCTCTTGGCATGTCCGAAATTCCTGGGCTCGTGGAGGTCGAGCCGCAGGTCATGATGCCTGCCCAGGCTTTCGGCCGCGGCGGACCTGGAAGGAGGTACTGATTGAATTGCTGTGAGAAGAATGGAGAGCTTTTTGCGGTCTGTCTGATTTTTATTTCAATAGTGGGTTAGTATTTGTTAAGGACATGTTGAATTAAACTAGTCAGCTGGGTGTGTTGAAGATCGACTTTAAGCATGATGTTTTGACTTTCGAGCTGCAATACAATTTCCTTTCGCCCATATGTTGCTATGACTGTGCATGCTGAAGATTGATGTTCTGTTTTGTGGAAATATGCATCCTTCCCTTAAAGTTTGCTAGAAGCAAAAGCTCCTTTACTCTTCCATACCTTCCCCTGTGCATTCTAATTGCTACGCAGATAAAGGGGAAAGACTCTGCTCTGCCAATAAGGAAGGCAGTTCTCTACACTGCCTTTGTAAATCACTTCTGTGATCGGCTATCATTGAAGAACAGCATAGAAGAAATCAAGAGAAAGGTAAAGGAACGTACAAGGATGTGGTGGACGATGCATAAAGGAGGAAACTTAACAAGTGAACGACCTTGTCTGCGCCTGTTAACCAAGAGAAATTAGCAGGTAGGCTGGGTGCATACACCCTGAGTCCATTTTAGCTGTCAGATATCTCTTCAAAGTTCGTGATACTCGTTTAAGACGACCTTGTTCGGGGTCCGTCGAATGAGAGCAGGTATTTTCGAGATAAGCCAAGATCTCAATTGCACACTCGAATTTATCAGACCGCTTTCAACTTGTTGCACGGTTTCAATTTCTATATGCATTTTCAAATTAGCTTATTTCCTACCTTCCAATAGGGTCAAGGGAAATGCACGCCATTGCAACTTGGTTTGCTTTTAGAGCTGATTCGCTGCAAAAAAATTGTTCTCTGAAATCATTGGATCGATCATGAACCTATTGCGGACGACGTTGCTTATGCGAACCTGATCATCTCCCTGTTGTTATACTGCTGTGAGGCCAGCGATCAATTCCGACAGAACGATTCCAAGCCACAAACGTCGCCTTTCATATTCAGCTCTCTTGTGGTATGGTTTTAGTAATCCGAATTCAAAGCATCGGTTGAAAATGCATAAACCGCGAGCTCTGAAGTACGGCAATAAACCCTTCACAACCAAAACTCATCTTTCACCATTGGAAACCAAAACTAGAAGTTCATTTTCACCAGTTCACTGACCATTGCGGAGTTTTAATGCCGTGCAAGGAGCTTACTAGGTATCGAGAGCTCGATTTGTATCTTTACACAGGTCGATCCATCATGAATGGAAATTGCTTGTGGGGAAATTATTTTTTAGGAAAATGTTTTCTTCCTTTTAAGGGTCCGTTTAGTAACCATTCTATTCCCAGAAATAATTTCTGCTCAAAAATAAATTTTTTTATTCTATTCCCGAAAATAATTTTTGCTCAAAAATAAATTTTTTTTATTCCATTTTCGAAAATAATTTCTAAGCATTTGAAGATGTTTGGTAATTGTCCAAAATTTTCATTCCTAGAATACAAAAAAAACATAAATGTGTTTGGTAACAATACAAAATTTCTTTTTATTAATAATAATTTTAATTTTTTAATATTTCTTTCTTTCTTTTTTCTTTTTTTTTTTTTGTTTTCTTTTTTCTTCTTCTCCTTCCTTGGCTCATGGCCAGGTCGTCGGCGATCGACCACGGGTTAGGGCCGGCGAGGGCAAAAGCTAGACCCTTGCGGCCTAGGCAAGGGCCGCCCTCGCCGGATTTGGCAAAAGCTGGACCCTCATCGTCGCCACCCTTACCAGATCCGGCGTGGGCAGCTCGCGACCTAGGCGAGGGCTGCCCTTGCGGCCTAGGTGAGGGTCCGGCGAGAGTGGCCCTCGCCCAGGCCATGAGGGTCCAACTCTCGCTAGCCACAGGCTAGGAAAGAGAAAAAAAAATTTCTTTTCCATTTCTTATTCTTGTTCCCAAAATCAAGAATCAACTTTTTTTTTTATTCTTGATTCTAAAAACAAATTTGTGCTCAGGAATAAAAAAATTTACCAAATGGATTTCTATTCTTTTTTTGTTCCTGAAAACAAAAAAATAAAATTAGGCACTATTTGACCGGTTACCAAACAAGCCTAAGTATGTATGTTTTCTTTGATCGAAAATTGTTTTCCGTTGAGTGGTTACTTTCAGCAAATCAACGGCCGGAAGTCTAGAAAATCGCTTTTGTAAGCGATATAGACAATTACTTTTAAAAAAACATTTTTTAAAATTATTTATTTTTCATGAAATAAACACAATCTAAAACAACTTTGTACATTGCATCCCGAAATAAACCGCTGTATCAACTTCCTGGGATCGTGTCCTCCTAAGCTTGATTTAGCTGAATGGGGACAATGGGAAGCTATGTCCTTAAGGCCGAAACCGTATAAAGATGAAAAGACAGTTTGATTTTGGAGTCTGCCATTAAAAACAGGAAAACCAATCATTCAATCACTTTCTGCCATTGAATGAAATTTGTTAAGATGCACACGTAGAAACTTCATCGCAATAAGCAGGAGAAAAATTAGAACTTTCACTGACCAAATTACCATCACATAATTTGTACAGACGATTTTTCCGAAATTCCAAAGCATCGGAGCAGTATCCTGTTGTGTTCATGTGGCCAAGAAGACTGAAATAATCACCGCTATCAGCCTGTCAGATCTAAATGCTGCAGCAATAGGCAAGAATAGTGGCTAATTAAGGTAGTGACCGAGGAAAGCTATTTCGACACGCAGAATAAAATTCCATTCACCAAACAACCTTTCGAGACACGGTTTAGGCAAAAGAAGTCGACAGAACAACAATGAACCCAGGAAAAGGGGACAGGCTTCTTTAGGGCCAGTCCCCTCCTCCACGATCGTGACTTTAAAAGCATCGACACAGCATTACAAACTATATATTGCATGGGCGAAACACCAAAAGCAACATGCTCCCTTGATTTCTATGTCATATTCAAAGCTAGAAATAGGTGCCTTCCGGAGGCTGGACGAGCTTCCTGTTGTGTGGGGCTGCCATTTCCTTCTTCAGCTGAGTCAGTATGTCCTCCATGGTGTACTCCCTCTGCCAATTTGCAAGCAACCCAAATTTCTTCGGCTCGACCTGCAGAGAGCAGTAATCTTTAGGTCTTTTTATGTCAATGCCCAATTATCATCAAATCCTCATATTGAATGTGTGACATCTAGGCTTTTATGCAGAATACAAGAGTATCAAGGATCACAGAAATGACATAACATTCAGTCGACTTTGGGAAAAAGAAAAGCAAAAGCCAATCCTTTTCTTGAACAGGAACAAGTGATGGCTATATGAAGTCATGACCATGCTTCACTAATGGACACGGATCTAGACAATGCAGCACGAAGTCATGATCAAGCACTAATAGAAGCCACTACATTCCACAAGCATAGGAGCATGGGATCAATTACCACTCCAGTTTCATGGTTAACGCATGTCATGTTGATGCGTGAATGAAAACGAACACTGGGTGGCTTTTCTGGGTAATCTTTGTCGCAGAACAGTTTCAACTGGTAGATACGACCTTCATGTACAGTCTGGCAAAAAGAGCAAAATCTGCAACAGTAAGCAATTTACACTAGACAGTGGTGAACATGAACAGAAACAAATATAATACTTTGACTGATGATATCGAAAAGTAGTCCAAAAAATATACTCTTATGACCAACATGGAACAAGAATTCAGGCTACATCTTCATATTGTGTCAGGCAAATATGACCTCTGATTGGACAGATAAGAACTTCAAATTTCTTCATAAAGTGAACTGGGATGGTGATCAGAGTTAATATTTTGTGACCCACTAATATATTCCATGCTCTAAGCAACCACTACCCTAGTTAAGCATGGAAAACATTTCCAGTAGTATCTAAACAACAAGAACACATTATCAAGTCTTGAATATCCTATTGTTCTAACGGCGGAAGCATATGCTGACCACAAGCGTGATTTATCTATAAGTTTCCATCGGTAACGAAAAGTGCAACAGTAACACCATGGGACCCGGTGTAGCTTTAAAAGACCAACTAAAGTTTCCCAATATTGTAATATTATGACCCTAATCAATACAATCTAATTTATCCTTCATAAGTCAAAGCATTTTCGTCTAAGAAACCAAATCTCAATACACAATAAATTGAGAATTGCAACTCATATGCACATATAAGAATGTTTAAGTACAAGTACTCTTTTCACAAGTTGCGAAAATAGAAAATCATAATAGATTACTTATCACAGAAAACCGCACATTGTGAGGACCAATGATGGTGCCAGTCCAAGATCGCATGTAAATGTCATCTCCATCATCCATCCCATAGCTAACAGTGCCATCTCCAATTCCTTTTTCTCCACGCTCAAGTTCCTCCAATAATCTGAAATTTCGAGGAACTAAAGTAGACTCAAAAAGTTAGATGTCGTAAAAGTTATGCAAAGTTAAACATGTAAAGAAGCACCAAGTAACCATACAGGCAATCAAGAGGTTCCCACTCCAAGCGCAGAAGCTTCATCAGATGCAAACATACATGCATGCTAAAGGGAAAATGGTGATGATGAAGCAATCATTCCCACACAATGAACAAAATATTAATGTTTTTGTTATATTTGTATAAGGATATTTATGAATAAAGCTCCTTATATACTTTGGTTGATCAAGAAAGTGATAGCATTTTTTAATGAATTTCAGTTCGAGCATGTATTATGTTATGAGATAGATAATCAAAATTGCCAGACTTTACTGACGCACATGCTCTAATATCTCACTAGACCCATATACCAGCAATTTAAGACAATAATCCAAGCCAATGCCTTTGATGACTTAACCATGAAAGTGTTCCCAAGCCTACGTGAAAATAAAATTATTGCACGGTTGGACAAGCAAGACTTCCCATGAGACAGGATCTGATGAGCGATTAGCTCACTCGTCAATTCAAGATTTAAGACTTCATAATTTTAAACACTACCTTAAATTAATAGTCTAAATAATAAAAGAATGCTGCCACCATTTCCTACGAAGATATAGGCTGCTTTTCTAGATGAGCAAGAACAGTTGCTACAAAGAAAACACAACAAATGAAATTTTTGTGTGACTGAAAGTGGGACAATACCAGCAACTTAGACAAACAGACCTTCAGGTCAATTGCAATTGTAACAACCAACTGACCGAAGCTATTGAGGTCTAGTCACATCTAATATATGATTTGCACTTGTATCAAGTAAGCACAGGAGATTGAGAGGAAAGTGGTTTTGTACAGGTACACCACAATAGAAAAATGAAACAATGTGCGCGAGGCATCAAATCAGTTTCTCCTGAGCTATCTGTATCGATCTATCCACCCTTCACTCCTTAGTAAACCAAACTCGCCAGCAAATTCATCCCAGCCAAATGCATTTACAATTACTTCCCCAGTGAATTAAATCCTTGAACATCATTTCAAAATCTTGTGCAAGCCACCAAAAACCTCACACTAATCCAAAAATCCAGCAGTATGAACACAAAAGCATTTTCAACGACACATCATCTACAAACATCCAAAAGCCTAACAAGCAAGAGCTAGCTAAGCAAGACAGTCATAGAAAAAAAGCATACATACAAAGATCATGATCCCGCAACAGCCACAAGCCCTTACAAACACAAAGAACACATGCGGTAAGCTTTCAAATTCGTCATCAAACAAAGACTAATATACAAAAGGCCAGCCTGTATCATCTAAAGCACCAAATATTGCAAGCACTCCCCCCCTAAACGCGACATCGCACCTAACCAGAGAGAATAACGTCACCAATTCTTCACCGAAAGAGACGAAACCACCGTCGTCAAGCCAAAACAGACCTGCGAACCACCTGAACACGCTAATACCGCGCACGCTCGTCAATCCGCAGAATCTCCGGATCGATGAAGTGCGAAGCGAAGCAACCGAAAGCACGTCCGCGAAGAACACGAGATCAAGAGGGCCAAAGACCAGGTCGAACGACGAGGTCGGGAAGGGGTTTCGAGAACTCACCGACGACCCCCGATCCTCCCGAGCCGAGCGTCATGGATGAGAGAGCCGAGCGAATCGGAGTTTCCGCGCCGAGAGCTGCCGGAGATCTGATCGGAGAAGAGGGAGAGAGAGCGAGAGAGAGAGAGAGGGATTGTTGCAGAGAAGAGAGAGAGAGAGAGAGATAGAGTCAAGAGAGGAGAATCTAGGGAAAAAAGAGGAAAGTGTAGACGACGATGGCTTCTTAAATGCTTTAAAATTGATGGGGAAGGAGGAATAATAAAAAGGACGGGCAGAAAATGAAAATGGTGGGGATTTTTCATTTTTTCTGGAGTGGCGATAATGGGAACCTTAAAAAGCAAAAGAAAAAGAAGAAAAGTAATTGCTCCCTTTATTTAAGAGTAAAGACCATGAAAAACCCTTAAATTCGTACATTTATGATAATTTTATTTCGAACTTATTTTTTTGATCATCAAAAACTCTAAACTGATATTTATCCCGAACTATTTTTTTAATCACCAAAAATCCCACACTGATACACTTGTGATAATTTTATCTCCGAACTAATTTTTTGACCAGCAAAAACTCTAAACTGATATACCTGTGACAATTTTACCTCAAACTAATTTTTTGACCACTAAAAACCTCAAACTGGTACATTTGTGATAAATTTACCCTCCGTTAGTGTCTGTTAAATTGGATTAATATCACGAAAAATCACAAATTAATAAACTTGTGACAAACAAAGGGGTAAAACCCCAAATTGCTACACCCGTCGACTATCACGTGTCATCAAACTTAGTAATTTGACAATAAAATTTAACGGAAACTAACGAATGGTAAATTTATCACAGGTGTATCAGTTTTGAATTTTTTATGGTGAAAAAATTAGTTCGGGGTGAAATTGTCACGGGTGTACCAGTGTGGGGTTTTTAGTGGTCAAAAAAATAGTTCAGGGTAAAATTGTCACAAGTGTACCAATTTAGGGTTTTTATGGTCAAAAAAATAGTTTGTGGTAAATTTGTCACAGGTATACCAATTTGAAGTTTTTTTGTGGTACTAACCTTCTATTTAAAGGACCTTACCAAAAAAAAAACCTTCTATTTAAAGGAAAATCTACTTTCGTAAAAGTATTTTTAGAGAAACTTAATTCTAAGAAAAATGATCCCATTTTCTTATGTAACACGAAAATCTTTTTTTTTTCATAGAAAAACTATGACGTAGATTTAAAAAAACGTTTCAAATATAATATCAAGCTCCGATCAGCTTGGCCTTAGAGGATCCAGGCTTGACTTCGAGAGACGCAAACCCTTCCTTCAGAGACTCGAACCCAATCATCAAGGTCTTGTGTATGGGCACCCAGGGACTCGGCCCTGAGTATTGAAGTCGAGAACTTGGCTTGACCTCAAAGGACCAAGCTTGTACACTAAGGCCCTAAGTGCCAAAAGCGGGGTCGTAGTTCTAGACCCCACCTCGATGGACCAAAGCCTAACCTCAAGGGGCCTAAGTGTGGGAACCCCGTGACCCAAGCATCAGAGTTGGTTCCCAAGTCTAGTCTTTAGGGTCTCACGCGCAACATCTGTGGTGCTAATCTCGACCTCGCATCAAGGGACCTAGATCTGGCCTTAGAGGAGCCAAGTGTCAGTGTCGATGATATGGGCGTGGGAGTCGAGTACCTAAGCTTGACGGTTGAGATCCTAGTCATCGGTAGCAGGAATCGGAGCAGCTGTCGAGGACTCGGGTACGGGTGGCACTTTGGCCCGATCACTAGGGATTAGTCGTATTTTGGGAGAATGATCTCTAAGTTTTGAAAGAGAGAGTCATTTTCTTGAACTTAAGCATGGATTTTCGCTTAACTATGAAAAAATTTTATGTCGACTCATTTTTTTAAGCTATCAAAATACCGAAAAATGATAAAAATGTTATTCCAACAGCAAATTTTCCGTGAATAAACGGACGAGAGAAAATAGAAAAAGAATCAAAGGGAACTGCATATTAATTTTATTTTTTAATTTGGACTTGATTTTAGACATCTATATAAGGGTAATCAATGAATACAAAATAGAGGTCCCATATAATCAGACGTGACCATGAGTTTGTTTATACATAAATGGGGGAACCTTTTGAATTGACATGTTATGAATTAGTTTATTTGTTTTACGAGTACAGGAAGAACGTCCGAAGTGAATGTTGCACAAATAAGAGCCGGCAATCACCATAAAAATAAAAAATAAAAAAACATGAGCGAAAATAAATCACTATAAAAAAAAAGAAAAAGAAAAAGGGAATTCGGAGTCGAGATGGAAAATAAATAATCATTCCTCTTTGCAACAAAAAAAACAAAATAAAATAAAATAAACGAAAGGGGAAATATAACACGCAATTGCACGTTTTTTTATTATCAAGCGTTGATTTTAACCCCACTTAAATTAAAAAAGATGATGGAAAAGTGGGTGGGGTTGGTATTCTGGGAATAAAAGTGCGGCTTGTTGCCCTTGAAATTAAGCTAATTTAATGTTGAAGAGAACAACTTCACCCTCCGCCTCCCCAATAATTGCTATGTTAGTCCTAACTTTTAAATTTTATTCAATTTAGTCCTCGAACTTTCAAGAATCCACAAGATATAGTCCTTCCGTTAAAAGTTTGACACCGTCGGCTAACATGAACATGATTTCTGTTAACTCGAAGTTAGATTTGCCGTGATGAGATCCACAGAACTCCTGCTTGCCTTCCTCGTGCTGTATATATATATATATGTATATCAATTTATCTTAGCTAAAAAAGAAAGGAAAACGATTAGTTGACTTGAAAAAATAACGTAACAGCTCATATGATTATTTTGACCCAACAAACTCATGTGGCAGTCCACGTAAAAAAAAATTGTGTACTGACAGTACATTTAATGGAAGGATTATGGTCTCGTTTGGTTTAGCTTTTTTAAAAGGCCTTCGACCTCTAAAGCCTCTTAAGAATACACTGAAATGTTTGACAAGTCTTCTCAAGGAGCTTTCACGTGAAAGCCAGTATTGGGAAGGTTGAAAGCCCAAAATTGGTTTTTCTTCCCGATATTGGCCTTTCAGCATTTAGCCAAATGCCGAAACCTATTTTTTGTTTCAAAACCATCGTTACTAATTCTTTAATTTTTCAGTTTTGCTCCTCGTTGTTACTGTTCATCTTCTTTGTGGGGCGACTGGCTAGAGCCGACGAGGCTAGATCGGGACGGCAAAGGGCAGGCGAGAGGCCAACGAAGTCGCATGACACCGGCGACGCTCGCCTAGGTCGAGCGACTTCAGGCGACACTCGTCTGGGTCGCGCAACTTCAGACCTCGTCGCCTGGGGTCGCTCGACCACGGTAGCCGTTGCCCTTCGTTGGAGCTTTTTTTTGATAAAAAAAGTGATTCAAAAGCCCTTTGCAAAAAAAAAATTTACCAAATTCTACTTGGATCAAAAGTAGATCTTTTACCAAATGTAATTTGCATTTCCTCAAAGGGCTTTAAGTTAAAGGCATTTGCATTTCCCCAAGCCCATTTGCAAAGCCGAACTAAACGGGGTATACATGGACCGATATTGGAAAGATTAGGAACTAGACCGAACAAAAAAGAAGGTACAGGATCACATTAGATATTAACGGGAAAGTTCAGGGGCCTATCCGTAAATAATAAAAGATCTATCCATAAGGCTGAAGAGGATGAGAGAGCCGGTCCCAGCTGAGCTCCGATGACTGACCATTTCTAAACCGTTCGTTCGTCACTTTCCCTCCACTCGCCAGCAATGCGATGATGGACGCTGTCTCCCTCCCGACCCACACCGCCCACCCGCCCCCGCTCTCCTCCGCCGCCGCCCTCTCCGCCGCGAAACGCCGCGCCTCCTCCGTCTCCTTCTCCCGGCGGCCCCGCCACGAGCCCTACCCGGAGCCCGACCCCGACCCCGAGGACTCCGCCTCCGGTCCCTCCACCTCCTCGAACCCCCTCCGTCGACCCCGGGACGTCAGGAAGCCCTCTCCCTCGTCTTCCTCCGCCAAGCCGAGGGTCAAAATCCCCCAAAACCCGCTGAAGAGCCTCGCTAGTCCCTCTCATCGTCCCGGTTCCACCTCCGCCGCCGCCGCCGCCGCCACTGGAACGGCCGCTTCTCTCTCCAACAAGCTCTGGCTCTCCAGCAAGCTCGCACCGCCTCCTCCTCTACCTCCTCCGCCACCGCTTCCGCCACCACCAGAACTCGGTGAAAATGACGTTCGAGAGGGTGGAAGTCGAGGCACTGGGGATTCGGATTCGGATTCGAACGGCGCTCCGCCGGCGGCTATTGATTACCGTCAACTGAGCAAGATTTTCGTTGGCAATTTGCCTAACTGGATTAAGAAGAACGAGGTAGCCGAGTTTTTTGGCCAGTTCGGGCCGATCAAAAACGTGATCCTCATTAAGGGGCACAATGAGACCGAGAGAAATGCCGGCTTCGGATTTGTTATCTACAGCGGTCCGGTCGCGGCCAAGTCTGCAATGAAGGCAGTGGAGTTCGACGGAGTGGAGTTCCATGGTAGGGTTTTGACAGTGAAGCTAGATGATGGCAGGAGGCTGAAGGCAAAATCGGAGGAGAGATTGCGGTATGTGGAGGGGAATGGTGGGGTGGAGTTTAGGACCAAGTGGCATGAAGAGAGGGAGGGGTCAAGGAATGCGTTTAGGACGGTTTTGGACACGGAGCCGGAGAATTGGCAATCGGTTGTTAGTGCCTTCGAGCGGATAAAGAAGGTATAAGCTCGTGGACATTTAGAATTGTTTGCATTGATTGTTGAAATATTTTCAATATGCATTGTCTTCTTTGTTGACGCACTGTATGATGTTAACGACTCCATGAAATATTCAGCGGAAAGGTGAAATTGGGGTAAATTAGTTGTGGATTAAACTCGCTAGAGGTTACATTTATCTCTTGTAGAAGTTTCACTGGCAGGCATGGCCGATCACGTACGGAGCACTTAGAAATTGGAATAATTTGTATGTACCCCTTATTAAGTTCTTGGAGAACATCAAAGAATTCTGGGTATAATTAATGTAACTTTTGTGATAATTGTGATGCTCTCCAATTTGGGTCATCTTTTTACGGTAAAAAATTGCTCTTAGCAGAAGTTTTGACTGCTAAAGTATGCTTCATGCAACCTTGGGTCATTGAGTTGGTTCTTCTATCTTGCTCCAAATGGTTGTCCTTCCTGGAGCACCTCCTACTCTGGGTCCTGTATTCTTTCACTGTAGTATTACCGGATTGAATCAGAATCAGACTCTTGTAATTACTCCTTGATATGGTAACTGCCTTTTGATGCTCCTCAACTTGTCTTTGTCATATATCTGAAGATCCGATTCTTACAATGAAATGACAATTTTACTTGGTGAGAGATTCCAACTTTGTCTTATGAGTACCTCGTTTTGCTTATGCTATATTTCTTGCTAGCCATCCAGAAGAGAGTTTGGCCTGATGGTAAACTATTATGCAAGAAGAGGTGATATGCACCGAGCACGAGAAACATTTGAGAGCATGCGAGCAAGGGGAATAGAACCTACCTCACATGTTTACACCAAGTAATAATTTCTGCTTTAGTCTCCAGATCATTGGAACTCATGTGACTGCTCTACTTAGCTTGATGTTTTATTGCGTGTTCTATTAGGGTACACTTGCTAGTCTAGTGTGATGGTTCCTGGTGTTTATAATAAGTGAAAGGTTCAACTTGACATGAGAGTGTGGTTGTTTTCATGTGTGACCTGTCTTGTGCATCTTTGTCTGGAGTAGAACTCTTTCAGCAAGTTATATTCTACATTCAACCTTTCTGAAAAAAGATCCAACATCTATGCTCACCTGATATTGTACCAATGTCTTTGGCCATACCCAAATAGATACATGTGTGTATCCCAGCTTTTTTTCATGGTAAAGAGTTATATTTAGGTATCCTTTTTGTTAGCTAACCAAGGTTTGTGTACTTTATGCAGTCTTATTCATGCTTATGCTGTTGGTAGAGATATGGAAGAAGCATTATCTTGTGTGAGAAAGATGAAGGAAGAAGGCATCGAGATGAGCTTGGTGACTTATAGCATACTTGTGGGAGGATTTGCAAAAATTGGCAACGCTGAGTAAGTAAACCATATGCTCGATCAATTACTTGAGAATTTAAATCCATCATCGTAAAATTAGTCATTCTCTTTGATGGTGAAAAAACAAAAGGAGCATAATAATTATTAGTTTCTGTTGGAGAGATGATAAGTCCATCTATATTTTTTTGGAAAAGAATACTTTGGCTGCCTCTTGTGATGAATGGACATTCATGAGAAGTCACTTCATTGCTTGCGCCACTAATTTCTGAAATCCATCCTAACTCATATCCACGCTTCACTAATTTAATGTCTCTATCCAACTTATTTTTTATTGAAGAGGTAAATTTGTGTTCCTATATCCTCACACTCCTTATTACTGTTTTGGAAGAGCTGCAGAACACTGGTTCAGGGAGGCTAGGGAGACTCATGCAACGATAAATGCAAGGGTTTATGGGAATATCATATATGCTCACTGGTGAGTATCTGTAATTTCTACTGCAGGTAAAGAAGTTAAGCAATAAAAAAATTTAACATTTTTTCCTGAGAGAATGGAAAACAACCTTCTTGATGGCACTCCATAGTTCATGCACACACTTGCCCTTAGGTCTATATTCCTGCGGATTTGCGTTTCTTGCTTTTTATGGAAGCTATTCTTTGTGTCCTGTCCCTCTTCTTTTTTGGGTAAATCAAATGGATTCTTCTTTTATGTGAAAAATCATTCAATTTTGCTTCACAATTTTCCTTGTGACATTTTTTCCTGCATATAATTGGATATGTACTCTAACAGGTGGAATATTGTATTTATAAAATTTTAATTTCTTTTCGGTCCTTTTTCGATCTATTAGTCAAACATGCAACATGGATCGAGCTGAAGCATTGGTAAGAGAGATGGAAGAAGAAGGAATAGATGCTCCCATCGACATCTATCACACCATGATGGATGGTTACACAATGGTGGGCAATGAGAATAAATGCATTGTTGTTTTTGAAAGACTTAAGGTATGTTTTCAGTGCTCTAGTCTTTGCTTAGTTGGTCCCAGTTTGATTTTTCAGATTTTGTCTCCCATTGCAGAACAAGGAACTCTCTTCTCAACTTTGTGAAAATTTTGTCAGATCAATAGTACTATCGTAGCAAAAATCTGCCTTCATGTATAAGATTTGACTTTTCTTCATGTTCTGGTCAAGTATCATTGGTGTTATTTGTCTAGCTTTGGGTATCTTTTCAATAAGTTGGAGCATTGGAAACATTGGACTTCCGCAACGAGTAGCGTGACTTATGGATCATATGGATTTTTCTTAATCCTTTTGTGTTCTAATGATTATTTGTACCTCGAAGAGTGCAAATTGAAGCATTTCCCCGAGTACTTTCTTCACATCTCAATATGTGTCTTCTGAAGTCAGTAAACATGGCAATATAATCAAAAAGGTACCTGAATGCTTTTTTTCCTTTTGATAGGAATGCGGCTTCACACCTTCCGTAGTTACTTATGGATGTCTGATCAATCTCTACATCAAGGTGATGCATTCTTTGCCTTTTCTTTCTATATGATTCATTGTTCCCTATATTGCGCACCTCTGAACTTGAAACATTAATCGTGTTCTTTACTTAAATGTGACGTGTCTTTCCTCTTAACCGATTTACTTACTTCTGCTTGCTCTCCCTATCAGTCTTGAATACAGTGCTGGCGTGTGCATGCTACTTTTGGATAATATCATACTTTGTATTGGTTTCGTGGATCTGTAACTACTGAAGGCATGCACATGTTGGGAAAAATTGATGGCAGGCCTTTTTTCATGAAAAGTACCCTACATATACGTTATCCTGTACACTTTGTACAAGATAGGCATCTATTGTTTAAACTAGTTAAACTCTATGTTTAACTGATACATGTATGCTTAACTGATACATGTATGCATCTTCATTATCCCCAGACGTGGTTGCTTTTGTTGGTTCTGTTTGTTTCACCCAGTATGGGGCTAATTATCTACCAAGCAGTAGTGTATGACCTACAGCCATAGCTCTGCTAGCTTTCAGTTCTTGGTGGTTAGTTTAGATCGTCTAGGTTCATGACAGAAAATGTGACACGGCATGATGTATGACTGTGCCTACCTGTTATATTTATCTTAATACGATACGCCTTGTGCACTGCATGCAGATAATGTTTGCTTCATATTGGATGGAAATCTTTTATGCATTGGTCCATGTGGGAGACACAAATGAAATTTTTCATGTTTGTCATCTCAGATTGGAAAGGTTTCTAAAGCGTTGGAGATCAGCAAAATGATGGAAGGGGCTGGCATAAAGCATAACATGAAGACCTATTCAATGTTGATCAATGGATTCTTAAAACTAAAGGATTGGGCTAATGCATTTGCAATTTTTGAGGATGTAATCAGAAGTGGTTTGAAGCCTGATGTAGTGCTGTACAATAATATCGTCAGAGCATTTTGTGGGATGGGAAACATTGATCGTGCAATCAGCACTGTTAAGCAAATGCAGAAGGAGAGGCATAGACCTACCTCACGTACATTTATGCCCATCATACATGGTTTTGCAAGAGCTGGGGAGATCAGAAGAGCTCTAGAGATGTTTGATATGATGAGGCGGAGTGGATGCATTCCTACCGTGCACACTTTCAATGCTCTGATTCTTGGTCTTGTGGAGAAGCGTCAGGTATATCGATCTTAAGGAAAAAAAGATGTAATAACTTTCCATAATGGGGAAAAAGAATTGGCTGAGAATGCAAATAATTTACCATGACCTTGCTGGCATTACTTGGATTGCTGTCATTTTCATCTTTTTACCTATTGAGGCAAAGGTTTGGCTCAAGGGATTAAGGATTGCCTTGCAAGGTCCAAGACCTGCTCTTGAACCTATGCTTGATTCATGGGCTTGACTGTGCCCATACGGGATTGTTCATGGGGACTGTTAAGTGGCTTTTTACTATTATGCTAGATTCAGTTTATTCTTGGCTGTTCATAGTTTTGGTCTTAGTTTTTGGGAAGATGCATATTTATCATGTATGTTATTGTAGCTATTTACTTCATAAATTGACTACTTGACCATGCTAATATCCTATCGGATGCAGATGGAGAAGGCTGTTGAAATATTGAATGAAATGACCCTGGCAGGCATAAGTCCAAATGAACATACGTACACAACCATCATGCATGGTTATGCATCACTAGGTGACACAGGAAAAGCTTTTGAATATTTTACTATGATGAGAAACGAGGGCCTGGAACTTGATGTGTATACATACGAGGCATTATTGAAGGCATGTTGTAAGGCAGGAAGGATGCAAAGTGCACTGGCAGTTACTAGGGAAATGAGTATGCAAAGGATTCCCAGAAACACATTTGTCTACAACATATTGATTGACGGGTATGAATGCTGCAATTTGTATTAGCATAACATTGCATGAAGGCTCAATTAGATGTCAAATTTTCCACAAAAAAGACGGGGGCGGGGGCGGGGGTTCATACATGTCGATCTTCATAAAAAAGTGTTCCAAGTCTGTTCTTTTCCTTTCTCTCTTTTTTGAAGTCATTTTCAGATTGAATCTTTATTTTAGTTATCGTTTTCATTTGTGAATGCGAATTTATGCTTTTATCCCCTGTTTGAGAAGCTCTATTTTGTTGTGTAGATGGGCTCGACGAGGTGATGTCTGGGAGGCTGCTGATCTAATGCAACAAATGATAAAGGAAGGAGTTAAACCTGATATCCACACTTACACATCCTTCATCAATGCTTGTTGCAAGGCTGGAGACCTGGCGGTACCTTCTCTTTCTTGGGATTAAAATAACTTGTCTTTTTCTTGTGTTGTACATATTGAACTCTGTTTTCGTGGTCATGTGGAAGATCTGCGTGCATTTAGGTTAGATGTTCGTTGCTGTATGGACTAATCATAGAGACATCCATCTTCTGTGATAGCTCTTTATCATGTTACTTGTAAGTTGTAATCCATCCTTTTCCTATTCATATTATTGCTACTGATGACTGTGTCCTCGGGTAATTAGCACCTAATGCTGCACATATGAGCCTGACAAACAATTGCCTGTCTTTTATATTAATAGTTCCCGCTTTACACTGCTCTCCCTGATTTTGGACTTCGTCTCTTTCTCTGACTTTCTTGTTCTCAGAAAGCATCAAAGACAATGGAAGAAATGGAAGCTTTGGGGGTGAAACCAAATGTCAAAACCTACACGACGTTAATACATGGGTGGGCACGTGCATCTCACCCGGAGAAGGCCTTGAAATGCTTTGAAGAGATGAAGCAGGTCGGTTTGAAGCCAGACAAAGCCGTGTATCACTGCTTGATGACATCGTTGTTATCAAGGGCAACTGTTGCTGAAGCTTACGTGTACTCTGGAGTTTTATCTATATGCAGAGAGATGATAGAGTGTGGGTTCACTGTTGACATGGGGACTGCTGTTCATTGGTCAAAGTGTTTGCGCAAGATTGAGAGGACCGGTGGGGAGCTCACGGAAGCGCTACAGAAGACTTTTCCTCCCGACTGGAATTCAATGCACGCTCTTGATAATAATATGGATGGTGGGAGTGACAAGGAATCTGATGTTAGCGATGATGACTTATTTCATGCTGCTGCAACTGATGGTGACGACAACGACAGCGAAGACGACGACGACGACGACAATCTCGGTCCGAGATTATGGTAGTGATCTGGTATACGTCAGTATGCAAGAGTCTTTCTGGATCCCTCAAAACTCTTCAGACTCAATTTGAAGAAAGAGGTCCTATGTGCTTTCCCCTGATGATAGAATAGTTGCTGTAACCTTTTGTTTTCGGCGTAGGGACTACGTGGGGACACCGACTTGGTTTGGTTCAGAGAGAGAGAGAGGGAGAGAGATGTTGCTTTTCTACCCCATTTGTGCATCCTTCTAGTTCTTTTGTGATACGTACTTCGCAATGTACTCGTAGACAAGACAAGTAAATAAGTGGACAGCCTAACAAATTGGAGATCCTTTTTAGTTGTCAAACAAATAAAACGATTCACTGTTGCTTTTTCTGCGTTGCTTTGGATCAGAGTTTTACGGTATGATGCAGCCTCTCGACACATTCTGTGTTTGTTTCTATGAATAACTTTTTATATGAGCATTGTGCTCCTGCTGCCTACTGCATGAAGTGAATGGTCATAGACCGACTAACACGCCCAAAGCATTTGCAACTTCTTCGTGACAGCAGCAGAAGATAACAAACGGATTCACGTGATAGCACAAGCTTTTGAGCTTGGAAATCTGTCCCCCCTTTTTTCCTCTCGGTGTCGCCGTTGCGACGGTTACCGTAAGTGCACGTTCTTCGCGTTACCGATGTTGTTTCTCTTCATTCATTTACCGGATTTTGTTAACTAGTGCCTTTAAGCACCTGTTAAGTGACTAATTAAATGCGGTTTTCAATGTATTAGCATTTCTAGTAAAGTGTGCAATTAGTGTTTTTGAAATCATTATCCGGCATACTTAACGAGTGTGCTTGAACACTCGCCAGTGTAACTTTAACACACACACACACATATATATATAATTTTAGTCTTTTCCTCGTCCCGTGGTTTTTATGCCCCCTGAATTTTCGAAGACAATTGCATATTTTTCCACAGAAAGCAAAAACCTAAAAAGAAAAATTTGAACTTGTACTACTGCTTAACAAGCCTCCCATTTTTCCGATTTTCCAATTCAAATCCCAAACTACTCATGATAATCTACGAATCAATGCTCTAAGAGCGTTTAATAATTTTTGTCGGACCTCCTATGTTGGTTGTCCATTATTTATTATCCAAGACAAGATCGAAAAAATCAAAATTTCAAGCAAGGAGAATTGCAGGATAATCTTTGGATTAATTATCTATATGACCATAATCATCTCCTTCATCTCTCGTTTGAGATACAATAAATGAGCACGACAATAAGATTTACAATGAACCCAACCCACCTTTTTGCACTCCACATGCTGCCACTGGATTTGAAAAACAAGCATGAAAAATCACGTTTCTGGGCTCAACTGCTACCAGGCTATATATATCCGTCCAGGGAGAAGAGAGAGTTTAAACTCTGTTTTCAAGTAAATGGCTCATGAGTCTGTTAATGCAGGCACTGCTAATGACTTCATTGTATCTAACAATAATGAGGGTGATGAAGATGTCAAGCAAGAAGAAGAGAGGGCAAAACCACAGCAACTTGAGAGTGATTTTGATGCTAATTCTCAAATGAACAATCCAATTTCGACTCCATTTGAGCAAGGCGACCTTCCGCAATCGCACTTGGGAAGTTTGCATCCTTCATGTGAGGTGAATTATTGCTTTCATTCTTATCCTTTTTATTCCTAAATGGTTAAGATGGTTTTTTCCTTGTTATTTGTTGGTTTTTCTTGCAGGGAAATTGTCAAATTGTTCATAATTCCTCCATTCTATTGACATGTTTTTTTTGTAGGGTGGAGTGACACCGGTAACTCAAAGATGCATTGAGGAAACATGTCATGAAGAGTCAAGGAGGCAAAGAGCAAAGCCTACTACGAGTAATGTGGACTTGACTCTAAAACTGTCACCACCAGGCAGTGCTATTCAAGAAGATCATATTCTTCATGCCCCATCTGTTCAATTAGAAGAGCCATCTCCAATCTCATCTCAGCACTCATGTATGTCGCTGGATCTTAATTTGAATGAGGTTCTCGACATCGATCTTGATCAACAGGAGGGACCATCATTGGTCTTGATGGGTTGCAAAAACTGTCACATGTATGTCATGGTGTCTGAAATCAATCCGAGTTGCCCCAGATGCAAGAACTGCGAATTCTTGTTGGATGTTTTCCGAGGAAATCTGCCTAAGAAAATGATGAAGGGCTAAAGAGAGTTTCTTTTTCTTTTCAAGGCATTGTCAGCCTTTCTTTTGTTATTTTGGTAGTCGAGCAATGTCAGACAAGTTGATTGAAGTAATTACCATTATGCATTATCAGGTGAAGTTCTTGACATGTTAAATCCAGAAATTCAGAAAAAAAAACAGACGGATCTGCTTTTATTATATCCTTCCATTGGAGTCCTTCATCAGTAGATTTCATATGTCCAATCATCAGGCAAATGTATGAAATGGGTTGAAATCAGAGGAGATTCTGGCACTTGCTTTCGCAAATTTTCCTTCTTGGTCATTCCATTGCCTTGATAGCTTGGCCTATTTCTCCCACCTAGGGAGGAAAAACGAAAATGAAATCATGTAGTGCGAGCAAGTCTGTAGTGCATATTGTGAGCAAGCCTTTCACAGAATTTAGCTACACGTCCCCGAATTTCATCTTGATAACTAGTTATCTCACAGTAACTTTACACAGGATTAAACAAGAATTACTTATCAAAAGGTCAAGTCAGTCAATGATTTTGAATACCCATCCAACACACAGAACGGGAACGGAGTCGTTTGATCTCTAAGGGGCATAAATAAGTTAGGCATAATTAAGGAAACAAAACAATAAGGATGTCTCCCCGTGTCCGTTTAAATAAAGAATTTTACTTTTGCCCCACTTCATTTAAGGGGGAAATGGCTCTTTTAATGTACTCCAATTTACTAAAGAACTCCTGCATATTCAGAAAATGGAAAATATATAATCTCCCAAGACACCTATTTTCACCAGTTTCTGTCAGGGAAAAAGTTTTTCAATCACAAGCATTAGTGAGAAGTCAAAAGCTTATATTGAAGGGAAAAAGAAGAGAAAGAGGAGACCACAGTATCAGCTGAGGCCCATAGGCAAACCAGCTAGTAATGGAAACGACCTGAAAACTTGATGATTGAGGAAAACATGAGTACCTTTGTTCATTTTAACATCCGATTCCTTCCAAGGCTTGGTTGGTTTAGGGATAAAGACACCGGTGCCTCGATATTTCCAGGTGGGAATGTTCATTAGTCCTCTGTCCACATGCGATCCAGGAAAGCATGCCCGCCCTCTTAAGTTCCTCAATCTGCTTTCCTACATTGTTCAAAGCAAGCTTAAGCATGATTATCACGGTGAAATTATTTAGAACGACAGTGAACCCCACTGGTAGTGTCATAATTTAAATTGAAATAGCCAAATACGATTCACGTATTAGGAAATTTCCAGAAAGCAAAGAGAAACAACCTTGAAATTGATAGCAATGTTGGGGAAAGAACTGGCAGCACTTGTCCTTGGACCAACAACAGCTTGAACAGGATGACTATGAGCAATATTCAAGGCATAATTTGACCTGTTCTCACGATGAGTATTTGTTGATTGAATCTCATGAAAAACATCAGATGGTAGCCAGAGCTCTCCATCTTCTAAGTTTGGAGGAAATCCAGACATTTTGGCAGGAACTTGGAATTTATGTATTGATTGAGGCAATGACCGTCCTGGGTCCATTTATGCATGTGTTTGGATCATTAATGGGTGGAGAATTAAATGAATGGCCTCTCACTTTCACTCATAAATCATGTAAGAGTAGCTTATGGTGAGTTCATAAGTGTTCTTTGTATCTTTCTGCACTTTCACTTGCATCATAAGAGGGCATGACACAAGATGACAAGAACTTGGGAAAAGGGCAGGTCGAGCTATGGTACATCTGGTGTACCGTGTACCAAGTGTGTAAAGCCTTGGATAATTCATTACCTTCCTTTTCTTTTATTCAGTGCTAATCCAACGGTCAAGATACCCTGATATACAGTACACTAAGTGTACCTCAGCCTCACTCAAAAACGACAAGTTACAGCCTAATAAATGAGAATAAGCAAACCTAGAACGAATGGAATAGTTAATGTTTTTCCTAATTTAAACTCTCCGCTATCAGCTGTAGCGAGGGTTAGAGAACATGTCGTGTTTTGGCATCCGTGTCCTAACACGTGAGCATTCAATTATTGACATGGACGAATTCAGAACATTGAACAGATGATGAAACATCTGTTCATTTTCGCACCCAATATGTTACCGTTGGTAGTCACGATCACAAACTAGCATGGCATATTTTAAAGCCGTGCTGGCTTCAGTGAGTCGGGACCAGAGCAAATAACATTGTACTGGCAGTAGACCCACGCAAGGCCGCCTGCACATCTTAATCCTGAAATTGGACAGGCAATATGTTTTAAAGGAGAAGCGATATGTTTTAAAGGAGAACCAAGGAATTCCTTGGTACGGACAAAGGGATGCCAGAATCTAAATTAAATGTTCACAAGTTTCCGGAGACCGAGCCTCTGAAACTCGTAAAGGCTAGCCTTCCTAAACTCGGTGGAAAGGAAAACTTCACCGGATGCAAACTTTTGACCTCTCTTTTCTGGCCTTTCATTGGCAAGATTACATGACTAAATAAGAGGATATATGGTCCAGACCAATATTATAAACACAGATTAGCCTTCACCGATTATACACAATCTCAACACGTCCGTTGTCTGATTATGTTATGATGCAAAATTTCTTCATGCAACAGCTTAATCCATAAGGTTAACAGAAGGGAAGAATTTGCTTCCTGTAAATTGCGGCCTCAAGTCATTCAACTGAATAAGCAGACTCACAATCGTTGCCAGTTTTGCAACTCAAATATCCGAGAATACAAACAATACCTCCGCAGGTGTGAAATGTTAGCGCACTCAAGTTGCTTTCTCCAGTATATGCTCCAAATGATCAGCAACAATCTCCGCCACGATTTCTGGAGCAAACCTACCCCTCATGTCTTCTCTGGCTTGTCTTCCTTTTGCCTTAGCATCTGCAGGATTACTCTCCATGTGCCTCATTAGCATCCTTAGCTTATCGACCGAAGGTTCAGCCCATAGATGCCCCTTGAATGGCCCTTCCAGCACTTCGCTCATTCGCTCAACAGGCAAAGGGTAGCTATTGTCGTCCGTCAAGTACTCAGTGGGCCCTGACCAGTTGGTTGCGATCACGGGCAAAGACATTGCCATGGCTTCTACAAGAGGCCTCCCCCATCCTTCCCCTCTTGACGGAAGCACAAACGCATCGGCCGCTTTGTACATTCTTGGCAAATCCACTTGAGCAATGTGGGCATCGATCACATAGGTTGGAGGCCAACCCTTATTTGGTTCTTCTATTTTAGAGTTTTTCACATATTCAACTATCTTGTTGCCAAAGTTTCTGTCCGTGTGATATGGGTTTGTCAGTAAGTACAGAGAAACCCCATCACTCCCAGAGAACTCGTTCAAATATGCCTTCAACAACACATCCCAGCCTTTCCTATACTCCCACTTAAAGATACTCAGGAACACAAACTCCTTTTTTTTCAAACCGAGAATATCCTTTCGTTCTTCACCTAAGACCAAATTTCCAACAGTACCTAGATCAAGCGGCTCATACTTGGCCTGATTGAAAAACTCCACATCTATGGGCTGCACAACCTTAACTACCTTGGATGGATCAACCCCACTATCAACAAAGGTACCCACATGGAAATCAGTAGGAACCCACACACGATCCATCCTGTTACATCTCTTGGCATGCTCAGGGTTGACTCTATCAGACTCAAACATGGTCCTCCCAATCACAGACAAATACTCACCATATCCAGATGGCGGACAAGGCAAGGTCTGAAATAATGGTGGGTACCAAGCACCGGGCTCACTGTGACATACCACAATGGTGTTGCTCGCTGCACATTCTGTCCGGTGAAGCTCGATGGCCAGCCTCCGCATCTTCTCTGGCAAGCCCTCCCAGAACTCATGGGACTGAAGATCACCATGTTGCTCGATGGTCAATCTGAATTTCGGGCTCTTCATGTGCTCTTGGAGGGACAAGATGTAGGACCAGGCCTCTGAGCTGTACCCACCACCGGAGAGGAAAGGAGCCATCCATAGGACACAGTACGGAGGTGCTGGGTCGGAGTCCGGGATCGGTTCTTGGTCGAGTATTCGGGTCCGGAAAAGAAAGTTGGAAACTTTACGGACGATTGATCGGGGGTTTAGTGAGAGGAGCGTTTTCAGGTGCTGGGTTTTGGAGAAGTTCGAGCCGGTGAGAGCGATGGAGATGGCTAGTGAGAGGATTAGGATTGCGGGTACGTAGTAGAACAGGAAAGTTTTGGATCTTGAGGTAGCTCGATTGGGATGTGCTTGGGAATTCATGAGCTAATGGTGAACGGGTGTATGCCTCTGAGAGAGAGAGAGAGAGAGATTTCCTGCTGCAGCTTGAGCTTGCAGAGGAGACGATGGGATCAAGAATCGATGAGAATCAAGAAAGCTGCCATTGACATCCCCTCTGTTTTTTCTTCACCAGAGCCGTTGACTTCCATTGACCTCACCGAAATGGGAAAAACGAAAATGATTAATACCGTAAAAAACCTTAAATTCGTACATTTATGATAAATTTAACTCGAATTATTTTTTTAACTATCAAAAACCCCAAATTGGTACATCTGTGATAATTTTATCCCGAACTAATTTTTTGACCACCAAAAACCCTAAACTGGTACACCCGTGACAAATTTACCTTTCGTTAGTTTCCGTTAAATTTTACTATCAAATTGCTAAGTTTGACAACACGTGGTAATTGACGATTATGTCAGTTTAGGGTTTTACCCCTCTATTTGTCACAAGTTTAACAATTCGTGATTTTTCGTGATATTAATCCAATTTAACGGACACTAACGGAGAATAAATTTGTCACAAGTGTACCGGTTTGGGATTTTTGGTTGTCAAAAAAATTAGTTCGGGGTAAATTTGTCACGGATGTACCGGTTTGGGGTTTTTTGGTCGTCAAAAAATTAGTTCGGAGTAAAATTGTCACATATATATATCAATTTGAGGTTTTTTCATAGTATTAACCCAAACGAAAAAACACGAACAACGGTTGCTTGTCGAAACGCTGGACTTTTCCAAGAATTTTCCAGTCAAGAAAACGAGAATCTTTTCTGGCTTTCATTTGGATAAAAAAAAAAAGATACAAATCTTCTTATCACACCATTCCTTGCAAAACAAGGTCGCAGATCTCTTCTCTGAGGTAACGGGTGACGTTTCTTCTCCCTCCGCAAAGGAAACCCAACTGATGTTTGATTTTTGTCATGTCGGTTGTACTGCAACTCACGAACTTGGTGGATTTTATCTTTTGGTTTTTCACTAATTATGAAACGGAAAAGAGAGGGGAAAAGAAAAGGAAAGGAAAAAACAGAAGGTGGCATCGTCTTTTTCTTCAGTATGAAGCCGGTTCAATCCGCTGACCTTACCAGGAGCGAACCCAAGACGGGCAGAAAACGTCACTGCCTACGAAGCTCCAATTCACAATCTAGAAGGAAGGAGATTCGTGGGTCCTCTCAGATTCAATCCTTAAGACTAATCCAACCTCGTCAAAACATGTCCCAAGAAAGAACAGTGCTAAAGAAGCACACTAATCTTTGCGATGCCGAATTGCTTTCCCGGATTGCCCTCTCCGGTTACTTTAATGTCTTCTAGAAGTTTCCTTTAGAGTATAGTTGCCTATATAAATCGGGTTCGATTCTTGTGTCCTCGCATCGTGTTCATTTTGAGTGCCAAATCGAGACTTCTTGAAATTGTCGAAATCAGAGAGAGAGAGAGAGAGAGAGAGAGGAAGAACTGTGAAGCGAGATGAGTTCGAATACGAAAGAAATGGCCGCGAAAGAAGGAGCTAAAGCAGAGAGGAGGAAGGTGGTGGTGATTGGTGGCGGCGTGGGTGGCTCTCTCGTCGCAAAATCCCTGCAGTCCGTTGCTGAAGTCGTTCTTATCGACCCGTAAGCCACAGAACTCTCCCCTGCTTTTCTATTTTCGAAGAACTCTGATTCATCATCATTCATGGTCCCTTTTTCCCGTTTAACCTGTCTATTTTTCCTGGACTGAGAAGTAAAACACGGTGAGGACGACTGATGGCAAAATGGCATTTGGCATTTTCTTATTATTTTCCTGGTGAATCCCATCTTGAGTACAGAAAGCAAAGCTCTGAGCAATTTACGTTGTGGAACATGACAGTTATGTCGGTTATTGAGGATGAGATTGGCTCGATCTCATTTTCGAAAACCCTTCGTACCGTGTAGCGTGAAAAGTGTTTCCTTTGCATGTATAGAGAGTTTGAGTGATTATCATTAGTTGCCAAAAGGCAGAATGTAACTTCCTCTTTTTTCTTCGGAACACGGCGTGATCTTGGTTGTAGACCACTAATATCAGATGATGCTTGTTGATACTGCGCATAGTGTGCTGATGCTCAGACCGTTTTAGCGCCTCGAATTGATAATCGGCGCTTCTTGAATTTCGAAATGTCAACAGGAAAGAGTACTTTGAGATCCCCTGGGCAGCCTTAAGGGCGATGGTCGAGCCCTCTGTCACCGAAAGATCCGTGATTTATCACAGAGATTATTTCACCCACGGACAGATTGTCACGTCTGCGGCGGTGGACATCACGGAAAGCGGAGTCTTGACTGCAGATGGCGATCTGTATCCGTATGATTATCTTGTTATCGCCACCGGACACGATGATTCAATCCCGAGAGATAGAGGCGAGAGGCTCGTCTACTACAAGGCCGGTGAGTAAAATGCTCGATCACGAGACAACATGGAAATCCTAGTAGGAAATTTCGGTATTACAAAAATCAAGGATGTTTTGGACATGTTTCGATCTTAAAAGCCTGTCTATGTGGCTTGTTATTTGCAGAACATGACAAGATCAGATCTGCGAATTCGATCCTCATTGTTGGAGGAGGTCCCACGGGTGTTGAACTTGCTGGCGAAATCGCCGTTGACTTTCCAGAAAAGAAGGTGACCCTGGTGCACAGGGGTTCCAGATTGCTGGAATTCATAAGTCCCAAGGCTTCCAAAAAGACATTGAATTGGTTGGTTTCGAAGAAAGTCGAAGTGATCTTGGGCCAATCGGTCGATCCGGATTCTATGTCAGACGGTGTTTATCGCACGTCCGGGGGCAACACTATCCAGGCTGATTGTCACTTTGTTTGCATCGGGAAGCCGATCGGCTCGTCCTGGCTTAAACAAACTTTTCTTAAGGACAGCTTGGACAGCCACGGGAGATTGATGGTCGACGAGCACTTGAGGGTCAAGGGCTACAAGAATGCTTTCGCTGTCGGCGATATCACCGATATTGAAGTAAGTAAAATCCGATGCCTACCTTGTATGTTAACTTGATTCCCTCGAGCACTCTTCGTCAATCCTTCTCTCCGTGCCTCATCTGTAGTTATCATACAGGGAATCGATCCTGAAAGTTTAGGTCCTAACGAATGATGATGTTTTTTCTGTGGCTAATAATACAGGAACTCAAACAAGGCTATGTGGCCCACGCGCACGCTGCGATCACCGTGAAAAACCTGAAGCTGTTGATGAGCGGAGGAGGACACGCGAGCAAATTGTCTGCTTACAAGCCCGGACCGGCGCTCGCTATTGTTTCCCTCGGAAGAAAAGAGGCGGTCGCGCAATTCCCGTTCATGACGGCAATCGGATGGTTTCCTGGAAAGATCAAATCTGGCGACCTTTTCGTGGGGAGGACGAGGAAACAGCTCGGGCTCAAACCGTCGTCTTCGTAACCAAAGTCGCCGTCGATCGGGAAATGAGAGAACGCGAACGGTCTAGAGGTGTTGCTGGGCATGTTCCTTGGTGTTGTATGAATGCATTGGAACAAGGGTGGAGTAGTCTGTAGGAGGTGTGTGTGAAATTTGCAGCGTGTGTTTGTTAAAGATTGAATTTTGTTATTCAGTAAATTACTTAATTTGTTTTTCTGGGGTTGTAAGTTTGTTTACTTCTGTAAAATGCATGTAATTATTCGCAATTAATAATTATTCATGATTATTGAAGGACGAGTTATTTTCGATCTATCATAACTGGTAAAATTATTGACATTGTTAGAAATTTACGTAACTTCTTACTGGGACTGATCTTCTTAAACTTTACCTCGTGGTGCACTAATATTCCATTTTTTTTCGTCTCGCCAATATCCCGAATTTGTATTGGCGATCCACAATTACTTTCCGTCATAGTTCAATGGTCGTTTCAAATGTTACACGGCGATGCTGCTACGGTTGGATTTAATTATGGATGGAACTGTGATGGGATGCATTTTTGGATCGCCGGTATAATTTTGAAGGTATTAATGAGACGGAATATATATATTTTTTGAGATATCGACGTTCTACCGAAGAAAAAGTCGAAATGAAAAAGGAAACGAAGCATTATATATTAGGAAAGTTATTTATCAATCGATCGGTGTCCAAAAGAATCTCTGCTCGAATCACCTCAAAATTAATAAACAAGATTAAGCCGCACGAGGATTAGATCGATTTTCCCTTTATTGCCAATGATTTTTGGCTTGGCACGTAGGACTGAGATGCAGTGATTATAAGCTAATCAATTAATTATGCTATTGTAATAAAAAAAAAATTTCGAAAAAGTCATCAGAATTTTTAAACTATGTCCATCATAATACATTTATAATAAACTTTTATTTTGTAAAGTTAAAAATCTCAAATTTATAAATATGTGTCATATTTACACTGGGTCAAGGTCATCAAAACCTGTCCATATGGACGATAGAAAGCAAGTGGTACAGACAAAACGCCCAAGTTTTTTTATTTTTATTTTTGGTTAAAGCAATAATAGTTCTTTTTTTTTTTTGTGGAAATGTAATGGGTAGAAATCTGTGGTAGCTTTCACTTTCCACTTTCATGGCGCTTGTGGAAAAAGACTCCCATATGGCGAATCTCTCTCTCCTGCTTCTCGCTCCGGTCCACTGACAGTGCCGCTTCTCGCCGGTCCTCGCATTCCCGACGCTTTTCTTCCGGCTTTGCTCCGCCTCCGCGTAAGAAAACCTTCGTCTTTGCTCCCGTTCCTCCGGTGAAACGCAGCTGCAGAGGTTCCTCCAGTTTCGCTCCCGAAGAAGAAGAAGAAGAAGAAGAAGATGGAGAGAGCTTCTGGCGTCAAGAAGGAGAAGGAACCCGCTTCCTCCGTTCAGGACGCCTCCGATCGGGTCTCTCTCTCTCTCTCTCTCTCCCTAACGCACACGCACACACAGGCTCGCCAACACAGGAATGCTCGCACTCACTTGCACTGGTCATGGTTGAACGCTGTGCCGAAGCGGAACTCCTTAGTCGCTGTTCGGTTAGGGTTTTCGTGCGATCGATTTCCTTTCTCACAGTTCCTCTGTTTGAAAGTTGAACCGCTGCTGCTGCCGCTGTTGGTATCACTGTGACGGTGTTACCGATCTTTTGATGCGCATTGTGTGTGTTCGGACGCGAGCGTGGCGGTGAAATGGTTGTGTTCACGTTCTGAGATGCAGCTGAGGACGTAATCATAGACATGCTTATATCAAAATCGGCTGACCGTCGGTGGTTGCATCATACACTGTCGTTTCTATTATGCGTGCGAATTTGGTGCATTGCGTTATAACGTTATAATGTCGGAAAATCGAACTTTTGCTTATATGGGGGCAACGCGCTGTCGTCCAGATCACCAGAAGAGGCGAAACGATAGATGACAAAATCAAGAAGCTTGATGCTGAGCTGAGTAGATATAAAGAACAAATCAAGAGAATGCGGCCTGGGCCGGCGCAGGAAGCTAAAAAGGCTCGAGCAATGAGGATTCTCAAACAAAAACAAACGTATGGCCTCTTTTGCAAGTTATCTGGCTTTTAGGTTCTAATTTGTTTCTGGATAACTTACTGCTTCACTTCATTTCACCGAGGTGTGGTATCTTCTCCTTTATATGAGATAAATGTGGAGCACCTTTAGTATTATCAGGTCTGTGGTTCATGTCAATTGAGGATGCTTTGAGATGCAATGGTCCAGATGTTTGGGAGAGAATGTGTTATACTAGTGACTGTCGAAAACCAACACTTCCATTGGGCCGTGAATTTAAGATCTTGTAACTTTTTACTCCACATATATTTGATTTGAGCTTGAATGAACATATTAACTTACTTCCAGATGACATGAATTGAAACCAGCGATCTTTTTGCTTTGCTTTGGTTACATTTTAAAAGATTTAGATGGAAATTTTTTCATAATTCTTCTCCTCCCATTGAACTTAAATGGAAACTTCAAAAACAGAAAGAGAACCCAAATTGAAACTTCTACATGCCTTATAGTAACGTGTGCATCGCATTCACACCCAACCATTTTCTCTTTCCTGCTTAAGTTTTTCTGATCTGAGGTCCACACTGCCTCTGTTATTGGTCCATCTTAGGTTAACATGTTACACCAAAGGGCTTGGGTGAAGTAGTGTCTGGGACTATAGATTAACAGTACTAGTTTTTGTCAACCAAAGCCACTACACTCTTATCACTTTGGACCATGGCTAGCTTGGCCAAAAGTAATTTGTCTTTTCTCTTTAAAGGAGAGCCCTGCTTATGATAATGTGGAGTCGATAATAATTGCTTGTTGTATATGGACTTGGTCCCGAAGAGAGGACATGTCTTCCATATCTAGCAACTTGTAAAGAATGGGCATCACACTGTGCACATGGATTGATGCAGCTATTTTCCTGGATGTTTGTTTATTTTTAGACCAGAATAAAATTTGTACTTGGGTTTTGATTAAGTTGATACTTTTGACTGAGGTATGTATAATAATTTTGAAAAATTGGAGCAACTTGGCATTTTGTGAGTCTCAAATTGCTGCTGTGTGTTTTCTTAGTTGAGGAAAGAGCATCTTATGAGTTCCCTGCAATTTTTCGTATAAGTGCTCTTATCATGAAAGTCTGTAAACAGGTATGAAGGACAACGTGACATGCTATGCAATGAGAGTTTCAAACTTGATCAAGTTGCTTTTGCTATTGAGGGTATCAAAGACAAAGATGCACAACAGACTGTATGTGCTACTACAATTCACACTTTTCTAAAATTTGCAATCTACCACCTACCTCACGTAAATGGCAGTATGAGGATGATATCTCTGGAGTGTTGATGTATGATAAATTTTTCGGTTGTTTTTGTTCCACTTGAAATTTTACTCAGAAAACTGTGTTCATAATTTGTTTGAGTTTCTTTTGAAGGGACTAGGTTGTCTTTACACGAATTTGTATCTTGCCTAAAAGAATCCTATCTCTTGACTAACATTCTAATTATCAGTGTAGATAATGCTCTGGAACGGGTATTTTGGAAAAAAGTAATTGGAATAGACTTCCTGTCCCTCAAAATTTCAAAAATTTCTTAAAATATTTCCAATGTAAGACATTCTGAAAGTATAATGATTAAGGTGTCCTATTTGGGGATCTGATCAGAAACTTTTGAGATTACTTCCAAAGCCAGCATGGGATTTCAATAACTTGATATAGTGTCTCCAAGAAGAGTAATTTTATTAGTGCTAATTTTCTGATTGGCAAGGTTAGGCTGTGGCTATCTGTTTGGCTGTTCTTTTTACTGGAGGCTTGCACAAGTAACAAGAAAATGTGTATGCTTTGCCAGTGTTGCTTGTGCGGCATAACGATCCTTGTAATATTCACAGATGAGGTTTTCCTTGTCGGAAGTGTCCTTTTGTGTGCTTGATCTGACAGTTATGAGTCCATCTTTCAGCAAAGTTATATTTTTCATTAAATTATGGTCTCATTTTTCAGCAGGTCAATAGTGCATCTAATTTAATTAAATTTAATTTACTTATCTTTTTCCAAAACCATAATTGCTGAATCGTGTCTGTAGGTGAACCTGAGTTTTATTAACGTCCATTGTAAGATTTGATTCATGCCGCATCACATCTGGTTTTTTTATTACAGTTCTAAAGTTACTGTTCATATTTGTTTTTGGTAGCGCCGCAAGACGCATAATTCAAGACAGTGCAACCGAAGCTTTATGTGTACCCTGTTTGGAACATGCTTGCCTACGTCTTGAGAGGTAGGGGATGAGCCATTTGCCACTAGCAAGGGATTTCTAAGTGATATACATTAATAATCTTTGGCGCCACATTACTTTGTTTTTGCTATTCTTCGAGTCATTATTGCCGGGATCAAATTTCGTTTTGTTCTTCAGGACCTTACATAATTTTTATTAGAATAATGCTACACATACTAAGACTTTACTAAGAATTTCTTACTAAATGACATGGTGACCTATGTGGCATGCGCCATGTCATTAAATAAGTGTTAAATCATCATCCAAATAAAGTTAGTAAAAAAGGGAAAAACATTAGTGAGGCAAGAACAATTAAAGGAAATTTAGTTTCCCATTTTACCATAATTTCTTCGCAAAATTGCACAAAGGTCCTTTCAAGCATTATTGCAAGCTGCTGTTGAAGTCTACCCAACAATGTTTGAAGCTCTTGAAATGGTTTATAACTTGTTATATGAGAATGTTATCTTAATTGTACTTTTTCAACATTGGTGTTATTATGGTTTCACCAATAGTTAATCAATTGCTATTAATTGCAATGTTACTGGAGTTTATTAAACACGTGAAAATGGAGATATGTCAAGTAAAATCATTTCACAAGGAAACTTCTAGAGATATTTCAAAATATTTTACTAGAAGTAATATAGGATTTTCTGTCTGTGCGAAGAAAGACATGAAAGGAAGAGATTTATTTCATTGGACGTTTGACTGAATCAAAACTTCACTTTTAGTTATTTTATTGTCATGATAATAAGAGTCCATTGTGCCAAGAAAACTGAATCTTCCTTTTTATAATCAATGAATCTAAAAGCATGATTTGAGATGTAGGAACAATCCTTGAGAGGAGATTTGTTGTAACTTTGGAAGAAAGGATAATGGAATAAGAAACTAAATTTTCTTTGACTATTATAGCCCCATTATATTGTTTTCCCCTTTTCTATACACAATCTATAATTTGATTGCCCATTGTGCACTATTAGGACGCATGCTCAAT